TAGGCTGGTAGCAGCAGAGGGGTCTTACCACTGCAGTTGCCATTCCTCATACTGGAAAGCTCTTCTCCAGACACCAGGTGGTTACGTCCTCATTTCTTTCAAGTCACGATACAAGTTCTGCCCCCTGGTCATCTCTGCCAGCCTATGATGGTGAGCCGAATAGCACCTTTGTATGCATTAGAGGACACTGCTTCCTTCAGGCAGACACCACACCACACCTATGGAGAGTGGGCAGGATTTCAGACACCACTTAGCTTCTCAGCTGGGTACCTCCAGCCTGTGAAGGGCAGCAGCACAGTGACCCTGAACAGGCGCCTCAGTGAGGTGAGGTGGCTACCCTTTGTGAAGATGCGAACCTTCCTGTCCCTAGCACTCACATATCCCTTGTTCTCACTAGCACTAGTCACTTCCTAAGTTCCAAGATTATACTTATTTATCTTTCTTACTGTTACATGATTTTTTGTTGTTGTTTTGTCCTGGAACTGTGCTTGACACATAGTAGACATTCAGAAAGTGTTTGTTGAAGGAAAGAAAAGGGTCAACTCTTGGGGGTTCCTCCTCCCCACCAACCCATGGGCTGTCCTGAAGTAGCCAAGGAAAAAAGTGAAAGCAAGGAAAGGTGGAGGAGGGGCCGCTCTCCCACTGCTAAGTTGCTCAGCTGTAGAACAGTCTCAGAAGACTACTCCTTCCTATTTGTTTTCTGTCATTTCTATGCAGTCACATCTTGCTGTGTTCCCTGTCTCAGGTGGGGGGCAAGGCAGTGGAGCTGTGTGCTTGGGCTCTCTACCCCAAGGTGGGGGACAAGTAGCTGCTGGTTAACCACCCTCCTGCTGTTTGCTCTTTAGGCTTGGAGCTGGCTCACTGCCCAGGCCTCTGGAGCTCCCCAGACAGGGCCCCAGCTGAGGATCTTCAGGACACCAAGAGACCCCAAAAGAGGGTTCGAACTATGTTTAACTTGGAGCAGCTGGAAGAGTTGGAGAAAGTGTTTGCAAAACAGCACAATCTGGTGGGGAAGAAAAGAGCCCAGTTGGCTGCCCAGCTCAACCTTACAGAGAACCAGGTGAGAGCAGGGACTCCTGTGGGGCCTGGACCGCAAGTGGGGACAGAAGCCACTCTCTGGGAGTCTGAACAGGGCTTTGGCAGAAGATATCCTCTGTGTCAGGCCACTTGGGGAGACAGACCCTAACCATTGGCACACTCCTTACATGAGGAGAAAAGCAGTCCCATTCAAAATCACATCATGGGAACAACACACCATATAATGTTATCTTGCTATGCGAAATAAGTGGCTGATAGTGAAATTAAACAGGCTTTCACGAAGCTAGATATTATTTTTTTTTTAAGATTTATTTATTTGTACATACAGAACTGGGGTACAGGCCAGAGGCTCAGTGGCGGTGAGAGGCTTCACCAGTGACAGAGTGGGGAACAGAACAGGCAGATCGACGAAGTACACTGCTGAGGGGAGCAGCGGGCGGGTCAGGAGAGGTCTGCCACGCCATGTTGTCACCTCCGGGGCAGGTGGGAATCGAACTCATGTGCAAGTGGCTTTAGATTCTCAGTGCTGTGCTTTAACCCACTGCGCCACCAGGGAGAGCCGCTAGATATTATTTTTAAAAATTCCCTTTACCTCATGTTCTCCTCTAGCTACTGCACAATTTCTCTGCTTTTTTAACGCAAATTTCACAGGCACTGCCAATGTTGTCTCCATGTCCTTATCTCCTATCTGTTACTCCTTGACTCATCCCAATACAAATCCTTTCCCTAACACTCCACTGAAATGCCACCAAGGTCTCTAATCTGTGTTGCTCAAGTCAACAGATATTTTTCTTTCCTCATCTTCTGCTACCATTCAGCAGCAGACAGTATTTAAACACTCCTCTTACTGAACACTCTTCTTGGCTTTCAGACACTACATTCTCTGGGTTTCCTCCCAACTCTCTGGCCTCTTTTCTTTCCCCTGTGTAAGCTACTCTCTGGCCTCAAATTTTTCTCCTCTGCTGAGCTCATCTACTCTCATGGCTTTTTTTTTTTTTAATATGTTATTATTTTTCAAAGGCAGATATAGCTCAACATGTAATTCATAGGGGACAAAAAAGGGAGTGTTTTTATTATTTATGCCTTAAGGAGTTCTCTAAACTACTTCAAAGATGATTGACATTGTAAAAGCTTTTTCTTGGCTCTTCTCTAAACCCAGGCAACATGAAAATGTACTGAACTGCATTTATCTGGATGGCCTCCTGGCTTTTTTTTTTTTAGTATTTATTTATTTATGCTTACAGAACTGGGTATAGGCCAGAGGTGTGGTGGGTGAAAAGATTCACCAGAGACAGAGTGGGGAGCAGATCAGGCAGATCGACAAAGTACACGGCTGAGGGGAGCAGCACGCCTGTCAGAAGAGGTCTGCCACGCCATGTGGTTCAGCTCCCTGGCTGGGGATCAAACTTGTGCTGCAGTAGCTTTGGAGAGCTTCATAATGCAGTGCTTTAAATGCCATCTGTTGGGCCCTCTCTGGTGGTGCAGTGGGCTAAAGCGCAGCATTGCAAACTAGCCAACCACAGCCACTTAAGTGTGAGTTTGATCCCCGGCCCCAGAGGTGACCCACATGGCTCAGCAGACCTCTTCTCTCACCCGCTGCTCCCCACAGTAGTGTACGTTGTTGATCTGCCCTATCTCTGGTGAATCTTCTCATTGACCCTGCTCCTCTAGCCTGTACCCCAGTTCTGTATATATAAATACATACATCTTTAAAAAAAAATACCATCTATCAATAATCCTCAAATTTCTATCTCTAGCCGCCCATCTTTTCCCTCTTTTGACTTGCACTATTACCTTTCTGAGGTCTCCATTTGGGTATCTTATGGACACTTAGATGAGTCTAAAACTCAATTTTTGATATTTTTCTCCCCAAATCCATTCTTTCCCCACATATTATCCCGCTGCCCACCCAGATGCTCAAAATACCTAGTCATCCTAGATTCCGCCCACATCCAAATCCATCAGCAAGCCTTGCTTGTCACCACTACTTCCAAAATACAGCTGAAGTTGTATATCAATCTCCCTTGCCCCCAGCTCATGCCAACTTCATACCAAGCCCAGTTCTTGCTGGATCGCTGCAATAGCTTCCAAGCTATTTTCATACCTGCTATCATTCATTCTTCACACAACAGCCAGATATGCAATTTACTTGAGATGTAAATAGGATGGTATCACATCCCACTTAAAAATATGGAGCTGGACACTCCTTATCCTTGGACTTCACAGTCATGGATGACCCCGCCCCCAGCGACTGCTCCCATTTTCCCTATTTGCGTTTCCCTCTCACTCTCAGTGAGAGTGATGCCCTCCCTTCTGGCTCCACCTTGGAGCCTTTCTACAGCTTACTTTTCTCAACTCACCAGGATGTCCTCTCATCCCCTGAGTGCTGGTTCTCAAGGAGGCTCAAGTTACTCCCATTTGTATTATATAATTATTTGTTACTAGTCTCTCTCCTGACTCCATGAAAACAGGGACTATGCCCCTATTGCTCACCACTGTATCATGATCATCTGGATGATGCCTGCTATACAATAAATATGCACTGGATGAGTGAATGGTAACTGGAATTATATGGAAGAGTATTTTGTAGGAGATGCTTCCCTTAGAAGGAAGGGCAAATTTTGAAGACAGGAGTAAGTACTGCAGGAATAGGGTAAGTGCAATGGGAACTGCTGGTCATAGTCTGGTCTCTGCCCACTGCTTTCATTTATAGGTGAGAGTCTGGTTCCAAAACCGCAGGGTCAAGTATCAGAAGCAGCAGAGGCTGAAACCGCCAGCTGTGTCTGCTATGACTGCATCCCCCAGCAAGCCCTCTAGCAGCTTGGACACCAGCATGCAAAGAGAAGACACCAAATCAGGAGCGAACAGCTGAGCACCAGGACAGATGCTCAACCCTGTCTAGACCGGGGCTAGGCTCTTCCTGAGGGCACCCACTGGAAAGGGGTGCCCCACGTCCTAAGAAGAGACTCCTCAGGGCCAAGAGGCACAAGAGGAACCTGAATTATCAAGCAGTTCCCTTCTCTATGTTGACCACTGGGAGTTGGAGCGATGTGATGGTCAGAGACACAGACTTTGTCCTTTAGCTATGTCCTTTACCAAGTTACTAAACTACTGAGCCTTTTTTCTTTATCTACATAATGAGTACATTATCCATTTAGACCTCCCAGGGCTGGAATAATGTCTGTAAAGCACTTACTGTGTGCTAGGCCCAGGGCTAAGTTTGCATGGCTTAGCAGCGGGTGTTCCAGCCCTGCCCTCTCCAAGGATCTTTCTTGGCCTGGCTGTGGAGGAGGAGTCAGTTTGAATCAGTGCCTGGGCAGAGAGGACTTCTCTACCACAGACTGAGTTGAGGGCATTTCCCCAAATATTCTTGTTTTGTCTGAATTCTTACCGCTTTCAGAAGGAACTCAGGCCTAGTTGCCTCTTTAGAGCAAATATGCTACCCTAGCCACCAACTTTCTCTCTAGCCACCGACCTTGACTCCTCTCCATCTTCACATAGAATAAAGAAATTTGACTCTGTCAAATTTTTGCCAACCGTTTTTGCCATAAACTCAGAAGTATTTTCACACAATGCTGAGTTTTTCCCTTTCACAACCCTGACTTGAATCCTTTTCCTACTCAGGAATATGCTTGTTTTCGTTTATATAAGCTTGATTTCTTATAGTGAAAACAAGCATATATATATATATACACACGTGTGTTTGTAAAACCCAGTGAGGTCTGCCACCAGAATGGGTTTCTCAAGCTCTCGCACTAGGCCTTAGAATCTCGAAGGGCTTCAGGGTGCTGAGGTGAGCTGGTGGGCGGAGACCTGCCCTGCCCCCTGGTGATGAGATAGAGCAAAGTCAGCTTTCTGTAGGGTTACCAATTGGGAGAGGGGACAGGGCGGGGCGCAGAGGTGCGCAATCTTCCAGGTCCCAGATACCAGGTCCCAAGCTTGTGGATGCCAGTGTCCAGCTTTAAGAACCCTTCTCTGTCCATGTACTCAGAAAAATGCTTCCTAATACTGAACCTAACATTAATCAAAGAAACCCAGCTGCATCCATCTTCTCTTGGCTCTTTTTTTTGAAACAAGACGTTCCTATTCAGCAGTGAGTGGACTCTACCCAACCCCAAAAGTCACCATAGGGCTACTGCAGACGCAGACACTGGTGTCTTTTCAAAAAGCACAGACTCCATTGGAACACAAAGCTGACTGTAGGGATAGACGCTATAGGTCAGTATTTGGGGGCCCTGAGCGAGAGAGCAGGCCCCTGACCTGCTGGCAGGGCAATATCCATGTGCACGCTGGCTTCTACATACAATATAAGGTGCCTAGACCTGAGGCCCACCATGGACCCTCATCCCCCCAGGGTGCAAGGTCCCTAAGCCCCTGGAGAGTCTGAGAGAAGATGAAGTCCAGCCTGACTTTTGGTAGGCCTGCCTGTCCTGCCCCCAAGGGCCCAGGAAGTGAAGTCTATGCCGGACTCTGTCGAATGGACAAGTGGGATAAGCTAGTCCCTTCCTTCAGGTTGAGGGTCAGGGAGAGGACAGAAGTGGTCAGCTGCTGTGCCACCCGCAGCTGGGTCCCCAAAGCACCTGATTCAAGATGGGCCACAGGGTGGACAGACAACCACTGACAGACACTCAGACGAACTCATGCACCGAAACATCAAAACCACGTGCGCACACACTGGCTCTGACATAGAGGTGACAGCGGTACATACTGGCCGCGAAGACACAGATGCAAAACCACAAAGCCGGACCCCGCTACGCCCAGTCAGCGAGCAACTGACCTAAACGCACGATCAGAGGGGATCCCGCAGCTAACCCGGTAGCGCGCAAACCAGCGCAACCTCGTGGACACTCACGCCCGGCGCGGGGGCCGGAGGGGCGGGGCCTCTCGGGTCGAGACGGGGTCAAGGGTCAGAAGGCGGAGGCGCGCCCAAGATGGCGGCCTCCATGTGCGACGTGTTCTCCTTTTGCGTGGGCGTGGCAGGCCGGGCCCGGGTCTCCGTGGAAGTCCGCTTCGTGAGCAGCGCCAAGGTGAGGCCGGGGCAGACCCGCGGGGAGCCCCCACCCGGTCCGGCCTCGGAGCCAGCCCCACGGGATCCCGTCCCGGGAGCCGGCGGGTTCCTGTCTCTCTCGTGCACAGTAGCCCAGCCACTGCTCGCCGCCGTCCGGAGCCTCCCAGTTTGTCCCCGCGCACGGGCTTCCGGCGCTGTCACGCGGTGGACCGGGTCTTCTGGGTGTCGGTGCATGCCCTCCCCGCCCCCGCGGAACCAGGCCTGTCTGTCTGCGGCCCTGCCACTGCTGCTGCAGGCTGGGTTGGGGGACATTGATGCTGGACAGAGGGAGCGACGGGCGGGGACGTGCTGAGTAAAGGGCACTGAGGTACGAGAGTGGATCCCCAGAGAACTTGTTGAGTGAGTTTGGGGGTACGGGAGGGCAAGAGCCTTCACTAAGGACCTTAGAATACCACGGAATTTGGAAGGTAAACATCACTTACAATGCTGTGTCTGTGCAAATATATGTATACTGAAATTACATTTTCAGAAACTGCTTTTGATCCAGCCCTAAATCTTTAACTAGCAATAAACCTATTTGTACTTATTCGTTTTTTAAAACTTGGTAATAGTCTGTTTCATGGGAGAGCTATAGTTCACTCAACCAGCTGCTTATTTATGGACTCTGTTGTATCTTTTCACCCTGAGGTGAAAGGACTAGGAACTGACTTTCTGTGCACATACATATGTATGTTTTTGTTATATACGGCATTAATTTCTTTGTAGGTTGATATGTGCAAAGTGAGAACAAAGTGATTTACATTTCTTTGTTTAATGGTGAAGATGAATAATTCATCATGTGTACTGTGCTTATCCTTGGTCCTTGCCTAAGATGGTCAGCCTTCTATTCTAGTTAGTTATCTGTCTCCTGCTCGCTACATCTTCATATCGATTCATTTTCTCAACCTAAGCTTCCATCTGCCTTCTCACTTCAGAGGAATCTGGAACATTTCTCTGCCTTATTGTTAATCAGGTCCCCAGCATCCTTGGCTGCCTCAGATGCTTGCATCTCTCTCCACCTCCACGGCCTTGATTGGCTCATAGTTGGTGCTGTCTCCATTCCACCGCTCCTAGTGTGCAGATACTCACCTTCACTAGCCCTTTGTTTCTACCTCTTTCCCCTCTTACTTCATCCCTTCGGCCACTTTCCTTGCCCATTTGTACTATCCAAGTCTTCTTGTCAAAACCCCAGCCCAAGAAGAGTAAGTTGGCTGCCCTCCCCTTGCCTAAACCTAGTCACATATCTACCCATCTGGTGACAAGATGGATTATCCTGGGCAGACTTTTTGCATCTATATTCATCAAGTGAGATTGGTTTGTGATTTTTTTGTACTTGTGCTATCTTATTTGGTTACCACATTGGGTAGATGCCTGTTTTTTGTTTGTTTGTTTTTTGTAAAATGTACCTTTCACTTTTCCCTCTGTTATTGAATATTTCAAGAGCATGAGATTTACTTATTCTTGGTTTGAAAAAGTTGACTCATGAAACCATGTAGACAAGGGGGCCTCACCTAGGAATAGATTTTGATCACTTTCTCTGTTTTAATAGCAGTAGCTCCATTGCTGCTATGGATACTGTCAGGAATGACTTTCAGAATTTTACCAATTGCTGTGCCAGGGATATGACCAGTCAGTACAGAAATTTGAGCACATACAGTGGACGCCAACCCAGATGTCCTACTGGTGCGCATTGGTCAGCCCTCCCACGGCTGCTAGTCTGGCTAGGCTTTCCTCCTTTTGGATTTAGTCTTGGCAATTTACACTTTTCTAGACAATCATCAATTTAATAAAGTTTCAAACTTACTACGCAGTCTTAAATAAGATTTTTTGCATGATCTTTCTAAAACTTTTCTTCAATTTGGAAGTTTTTTGCCTACTTTGTGCCTTTTCAATTCAGCTTCAGTTCTCTCCAAGCTTCATGGTAATATGGATTGGAATTGTATTTCTGAGGCACGTTTTAAAAAGTGTTTTCATACAAAAGTGTTTTCCTTTTGTTTTAACTAGGGAATTCCCCTTGTTCTACCTCTGTAGAGACAGAGGTCAAAACAGAGAAAGTGATCAAAGTCCACTCCTTTATGAGGACCCTTGTCTACATGGCTTCCTGAGTCAAACCAAGAATAAGTAAATTTCACGAAATAGTCAATAACATAGGGAAAAGGGAAAGCTTCATTTACAAACTAAATATTTTCTTTCTCCAGAAAAAGGGAGAAAAAATTTGTTATTTTTCCAGTATTGCGAATTGAGGTCAGCAGAGATAATATGGGTCCCTGTTCACATCTTTTTGTCCCACAGAGGAAGGCCAAGTTTTTATTTTGCCACATTAGGTCCCAAGAACTACTGAGCACACAGGCGGAGCTTGCAGGAAGATGCCATTACAGCTTTCCCAGCTGTCATCTGTGCCACTTCCCTGGCAGAGGCCCCAGATCAGAGGTGTGGCTCTCTGGTTGCTCAGAGCCCATGTATTCCGACTTTTGGGAGGTATTGCTGTCTAGCCAGAGCGCTGATGCTAGAAAAAAATGAGGGAAACTACATGGGAAACTACATGACAGGACATTTCACTACTCTGCCAGTTGCTTTTCTCTACCTTTTTTTTTTGTGACAGGTCAACACTGGCAGAGGCATCACCCCTCTCTTTAAGTTGGATGGTGGGATTAAGTGCCCGGCAGGACTGGTGACTGCCTGGATTCTGAAGCTGTCTCCATGTCCCATTGTACATGAGGGATGACAGTTCAGTGATGGCGTTCTCATTCTTCATCCTTTAAACGATGTACACAAGGCTTTAGTTCTCAAACTCTAGCATGCATATGGATCAACTGGACATCTGGTTAAGTTGCAGGTTCTGATTCAGCAGCTCTGAGGTGGGGCTGCGATTCTGCATTTCTATCAGCTTCCCAGGTTATGCCCATGTTATCCGTTCCTCACCTCACTTTGAGTAGTAAGAAGCTAAAACTCATGAAAACATTTACCTGGTGCTAAGCGGTCATTGCAGCCTGAAAACTACCCAGTAGCTGGGAAACAGATGCGATGAAGTGAAGCACTTGGCTTAAGGATTAACATGTTAGCACTAGGACCAAAGACAGTCATTCTTTTTAGTGGAATATCTGAGAACTTGTTGGGGACCAGGTACTGTGCTAGGTGTTGCACAGTGGCATTGGCTTTCTCTGCAACCATGAACTACATAGCATCATTGCCAGGATCCTGAAGGGGCTACCTGAGTGATTCAAAAGCTGTCATTACCAGCTCCTGATCCAGGAGACTACAGCCTGCTCTGAGCTTTGGTCCTGCTCTGGTCATTCTGAAAATTCTCTGAGTGGTATGAGATGGCTGACATGGCATTCCTGTCCCAGCCCTTCTGCCCTAAGCAGGCTGAAAGAAGTGACCGAAAGTAGGTCAGCACTGCATTTCCAGAGGAGGCTGTCTGACCATGCTCCATGAACCCTCCCAAGGCTGTTGTGTCAGGCAACACCACACTGATAAAGAAATGGGAGCCGTGGGGCAGGCTACATAATGCAGGATGCTGCTGAAGAGCAATATCCTGGCCTTTTTATTGATAATATAATCATGCAGCATCAATTATACGTAAAAGGGGAAGAGTGGAACTGCCATCTATAGTGTAACTGTGGGTCTGCCCTCCTGGTGCTTCTCAGCTGCTTGATGACTCAGTATTGTAATTGAGAGCCAGTGCTACTTCCCCAGCCAGGGGTTACATCTGACCAACAAGGCGTTCTGCTGATCAGCTTCTGGGGTCCCTTGGGCGTTTCCGGTCATACCTCACGATACACACCTTTCCCAGGGTGATTTAACTCTCTGCTCTTGGTTGATTTGAAAGGCAGCTTGTAAGGTTTGCCTCCTATGACTGACTAACCAGTTTCTGACCTTGTATAGGATGCAGAACTGCAGGCAACAAAACGATGGCCCAACAGGCCGCTTAGGAATAGCAGGCCCACACGAGCCAGAGACCACTGCTGAGGGGGAAGCATGTAGGGTGAGGCGGTGGCCCTTTGGCCTTTGGTGCCTTACAGCCATCCTCTCCCTTCCCTGCCTTTTTAGGGGAAAGGGCTGTTTGCCACACAGCTGATCCGGAAGGGGGAGACCATTTTCGTGGAACGGCCCCTGGTGGCTGCACAGTTTCTTTGGAATGCACTTTATCGATACCGAGGTGAGCTCATCTCACTCACTCCGCAGTCGGGACTCTGGGTATTGGGAGGAAGGACTGTTTTCCCTTGGAGAACCTCGCCTGAAAATCATATGCTTCTATCTAATCTCAAGTACTTGGGTGCGTGAGCCTGCAGGTGAGAGGCTAGACATTCTGCTTAAGCACTCTGCCAAAAAGGAGGCTGTGTGCTCATTGGTCAAAAAAGACTGACATAGGAGTCAAAAGCTAAGAATGCCCTTAGTTTTGTTAGCCACATGCTTTTTTCACATTTCTCATAGGCTAGAGAAAAACGGAAAGGAGGGTCAGAATGGTCATATAAGGTAGGGAAAGCCCAGTTTGGCAGGAAGGAAAGCCCTACAAATAAAGTCCCATCAGGACACAGAGAGAGTCTGACAGCGTGGATGGAGACTCCAGCGAGGAGGAAATCACAGACTTTTGAATGGATGAAGTTCATCCCTTTTATTCTTTAACACATTCATTCACTCACTTCCCCAACTTTTGTTAAAGTACCTTCTGTGTGCCAGCCACTATTCTCACTTTGGGGATACCACTATGAAAATGATCAATGTGGCCTCAGCTCTCAGGATACTTACATTGTCATGTCTGGCCCTCTCCATCAGCCTGTGACCACTGTCTGCGGGCACTGGAGAAAGCAGAGGAGAATGCCCAGCGGCTAACTGGAAAACCAGGCCAGGTTCTGCCCCACCCCGAGCTGTGCACCGTGCGCAAGGACCTCCACCAGAACTGTCCCCAGTGCCAGGTGAGCATCCCTGGGGAGAGCTCCTGAAAGGGAGCCCGTAAAGCCCTCTTCAGGGAGGTAGAAGTAAGGACAAGCCTGCTCATGCCACAGCCCTTGAGAGCCACAATGTCAGGTCGAGATCGCAAAGGCTCAGTTACTGTTCGAGTCTCGTCCTTCCCATTTTGATCCCATTGTCTAGAAAATGGACTTGGTGGGAGCTAGCTCACTTCCTGGGATCCTGGTAGGGACTCTCCCCTCTAGCCAGAGGGCTGTTTCCTTCCCAGGGCCTTACAGGCCGGGGTCAGGAGCCCCCCTGCATGCTCAGTGCACCCTCTGTGCTGTTGCAGCACTGACCTGCGCTCACAGCTCTTTGCGGAAGGAATGCCGCTGGGGGGTGTGAGGACCATGTGGCTGTGTGCGCTGCAGCCCATGGCCAGATGCTAGGGTGCTGACTTCCATCATCCTCCCCAAACAGGTGATGTACTGCAGCGCAGAATGTCGCCTGGCAGCAGCTGAGCAGTACCACCAGGTCCTGTGCCCAGGCCCCTCCCAAGATGACCCCCTGCATCCTCTCAATAAACTGCAGGAAGCCTGGAGGTAGGAAACATGTCATCGGTTCTTTTCTTTGTCCTTCCCTCCCTGCCTGCCTGGGCTCAGCAGATATAACATCTTTCTTAAGTTACCAAGCCCCAGATTTTTCATCCATTCTTAGGGCTAAACTGAGGTCACATCAGTGAAACCCCCACACCCTCCCCTTCTTGCCTCTGCGCTGCCGGCACCACCATCCAGCACATTTTACACACTCCCAGAAAGAACCCTATTCTAAGCCCACAGGGTTGTAAAACCAGATCCTTGCCAGTTTCTCTCTTTGTGGGATTGATAGGGAGGATTCTCTATAATAATCAGACTGGGCTTCCCTGAACTCAGCTACTGGCACTGGGGGAGTGAGGGAGGGGGACTTATAGAAAAAACATTTTTCTTTCTCCCCAGGAGTGTTCACTACCCACCTGAGACAGCAAGTATCATGTTGATGGCACGGATGGTGGCCACAGTGAAACAGGTGACTCCACCTGGCTCCCGGGCAAACTGACTCTGGCCTCATTCAATCCTTGACTTCAGTTTCCGTCTCACCTCGAATGCTGACTTGGATGCAGCATTCCTGCTGGGCTTCTCAAAGGAGAACTGCTTGCTCCATAAACCTTAGGAGTAACTAACTATAAACCTGGTAGGGGGAGAGGACAAAGACCATCTTATCTATGGACTCTGAGCTCAGGGAGGGATTCTTGTGCAGCAGAACCCATGCATTCAGTTTCTAGGCATCGCTTCTTCAGGATGAGTGCCCTGCGCACAGTGGGAGGAGTGGGAGGAGCTACTCAACCCCCTGTTTAAAATCGGTGCTCCTTATCCTCGCTCTCCTATTTTTCCTAGTGGTGTTGAGCTGGCTAGCTTGACTCCAGTAGGGCAGTTGGTTGGGTGTGGGGAGGCCCCAGGCAGAGGAGAGCGCTCCCGAGAGGCTCACATGTGATGGTGCTCTGCGATAGCAAGGCTTTAGGATCATAGGCTGCCCTCCCATGGAGGTGGGGGTGACAATAAGGAAGCAGGTGTCCAGGACTCCATGTGTGTACCTTGAATGTTTGTTTATTCCTTGCAGGCTAAGGATAAGGATCGTTGGATCCGGCTGTTCTCCCAGTTCTGTAATAAAACGGCCAATGAGGAGGAAGAGATTGTGCACAAACTGCTGGGGGACAAATTCAAGGTTTGTTGACTGGTACATTCCACCCCCAGTTGCCTAGAGAGCTCACATTTGGCCCCCTCCCTACTGCAGGAAGGGCTTAGAGGGGGCCAAAAGTCTATTTAGCGGACTTATATTTCCACTACTGTTTACTTTTATGACCTAATGTGAGCTACCATTGGAAAGTGGGATGACAGGAGGAGGGGTGAGGTACTCTGGTGTGAGAATGTAGGACCCCACAGTAGGATAGCAGTGGGTGTTTCAGGGGTGATGGGGAAGGGAGGGTTGGGAATCCACAGTCAGGGAACCATGTGCAGGATTATTTTTGTTGACAATGTACTGGGCATTGACCCCCGTGAACATCAGATGTTCTCACTGAGGACAGCAGCACTCCCTGCATGAGCTGCCCAGGTGTGGAGGCAGGTATGTGAAAGGGTGTCTAGGTTGCACCTTCCTAAGTGGAATTTTGAGGGAAAGAGGGGGGGCTCCTGCTGGACCGGATGCCAGATCAGGAAGCCTGGAGGGAAGTAGTGAGAATGGATGTCCTAAACCAGGCTGCCTGAGCCCCACTGGCACCAGTGCTGAAAAATAGGCTTCTGGGGCTTCTACCGTGGGATGGAGCAGGCCAGCAGGCTGCTTTTTGTCGATGAGGGCTCTGGCATTCCTTTGCTCCCAGAAAAGCCAGTCTACAGATACGGACCTTTTCTTCCCTTCCCTCATCTGGTATTCTGGGCCTGCCTAGATGCTAACTGAGAATTCATAAGGATACAAATCTTTTGCTGCTTCCCTTCCACCAGGGCCAGCTGGAGCTTCTGCGGAGACTTTTCACAGAGGCCCTTTATGAGGAAGCACTCAGCCAGGTGAGCGTGGGGCAGGCCTGCTCAGCGGCCTCCCAGCCACTCTTGCTCTCCAGGAGCAATTGGGTGAGCATCTCCTATTCCTGCTGGGACAGCTGAGTTGCTCTTTTGGAGTTGGGATGGGGCTGACTCATGGAAGATTTCCTGCCAAAAGCAGCAAGTGATCTGGTGTTTATTGCTGTTTCCCCATAGTGGTTCACTCCAGATGGATTCCGGTCTCTCTTTGCTCTCGTTGGGACCAATGGCCAAGGAATTGGGACCAGGTTAGGGGAGAATCTTTCTGAGTTTGGGCTTGACCCTTGAGGATTGGGTGGGAGATTAGTGAGGAAGGCAGCCCCAGGCTTGTTCAAGAAAACTAGGATGGGGCAGGGTGTGACTGTGCCAGCATTCTGGACAGGACAATGGTCGACTTAGAAAGATGGGGCAGTAGAGTCTTCTCTTGGGAACTCTGGTCTGTTGGGGGAAAAGGGGTCTCACCCTGGAGGAAGAACTGGGCTTAATTTGCCGGGGTGGAGAGCCCTATGAGCCGCGCCCCCGCCTCCATCTCTGGCTGGCGGGTACCTCCCAGCTCCCTGAGTCAGTGGGTCCATGCCTGTGACGCTCTGGAGCTGAAACCTCAGGACCGAGAACAACTGGACAACTACATTGATCAGCTCTACAAGGACATTGAGGCAGGTTGGTAACAGTGAGTCTTCACCTTAAGCAGCCTTGGGGGTCCATCTCCCCTCCTCCCGAGTCAGAAGGCAGACACGTGGTCTTCCCCAGGGAGTTCACAGTGGGGAAGGTAATCCCTGTGTGCTTCACAGTGGGAGCGTCACATCTGTCGATAGGACATGCAGACCAGAAATGCCCTGAGATCTGTGCAGGAGCTTGTTGCTAGAGCTGGGCTTGGAAAGGTGGGGAGCTCACAAATAGGGCCATAGTGTTTATAAAAAAGCAAGACTTGTGACTCAGAAAAGCAAGTTCAGGTGAAATGATAAGGGTTGGCAGGGGGGGCATCCTGGAAGGGTTGCAGGACAGTGGAACCAGTGCCTGTTCTTATAAGCCTGGCTGCCTCTTCCCATCTATAAAATGGGTAGAATAGCATCTGCATATTATTATCTTACAGCAACTGGCGAGTTTCTTAACTGTGAAGGATCCGGCCTCTTTGTGCTGCAGAGCTGTTGTGAGTCCCAACATTGGGGGGGAGGTAGGGAGGGGACGGCCATAGAGCCACAGCTCGGCTTTCTCATTTGGCCCCTTCTAGGCTGGTGCAGTTAAGTCTGGGTGCAGGGTTAGATCTTGGTCTGTCCCTGGGTCATGATTCCACCATGTTCTCATTTATACATTCATTGGACTGTTTGTGCCTTGATATGTTTACATACAAAACATTGCAGTGGACTTAAGCTCTGTCTTAAGGCAGGGCGCGTAGCTCTGATTCTTGCAAAGGGAAGCATGGCCTTTGTACCACCATTGCCCTGTGGGATTTGGCAAGGAAGTGTCATGAGAGGTTGGGAGGCCCTCGGGGTCCTGGGAGGAGTTCATGCTAAAAGGTGAGTGTCATCAGCAACTGATGGAAAAGAGGAGAGCCAGTTCAGACTATCCTCTTTTCCAGACCTCAGCCCCAGCCAGCCTCTGGTTTCCTCATTGCAAACCACCCCTCCTCCCAGCCTCTAGGGCCATCCTCTCTCTCCCAAACCCAGCTCTTGGAAGTCTTGATTCAGTTGTTAACAGACGAGGCTGAGCTAAGTGGCGCGGTATAGTGTTCCTTTCACAGCCCTGTTCCTCCCTTTCCATGACAGAACACAGCTGAGGATCTAGCTAGCTAGTGAGGAGAGGAAGGGAGGGCCAGTGGGGGTGGGAGAGGGGAGTGACGTGGGAGTTCATTTGTGCCTGTGCACTGTGGTCTTCAGGAAAGAGCACTGGATAGGGATTGGTTGCTCAACTTTAGCAGGGGTCAGAGAACATGGAAGAATAGGACTCACTGCTCTGCAGAGTTGAGGCTGTTACTTTCATTAGTCAACTGTCCTCATTACCTGCTTCTTGTGACCCAGGCAACCACAGCTGTGTTCCCAATGCAGAGACCTCCTTCCCAGAAAATAACTTCCTTTTGCATGTCACTGCCTTGGAGGATATTAAGCCAGGAGAGGTGAGTGAGGCCAAGAGCTGGGGGTGGGGAGGGAATGGGCTGTGCTCATTTTCTCTGGGGGTCAGGAACAGCATTGGATGGGGCTCCAAGGTCTGTTGGGTTGAATCCCCACATTCCCTAGGACATGAGTCTTTTTCTCCAGGGGTAAGCTCTAACTTCACTTCTTCAAAGAATAACTCCAGAAAGAAATAGCTGTACACACAGGTTCTTGTCTCCAGCCCATTTTGATTAAAAAAAAAATCGGTAATTTCTAAGAAAGCAGGAGAAATGACTCGTTGTCAGTTAGACCATAGGGTACTAGTAGGGATTGGGGGCCTGGCTGTCAGCATAGGACAAAATCTGGTTGAATCTTCTTCAAGAGCATCGCACTAGAATAACCTTTGGCCTCAGAAACAGACCTTTGCCATTGACTGCCTTTAACCATGGCCTGAGACTAGCTGCAGTTCCCTCGCTGCATCAGACACAGGAAGCTGGGGCAGTGGGTGCAGATAAGGCATAGGGAGGCTGTTATTCCATCTGATAGAGCGCTGGGACAGGCCTTCAGAACCCGCCCCCTTCTCCTCTGCCCTCCAGGAAGTCTGCATCAGCTACTTAGACTGCTGTCAGCGGGAGCGCAGCCGCCACAGCCGCCACAAGATTCTCAGGTGCCTGCTGGGGATGTGGTGGGCAGCTGGGCCCGGGGGTCCTATGTCCTGATGGCTGCTTGACTGTTCACCCTCACCACTGTCCTCCCCCCTCCAGGGAGAACTATCTTTTTGTCTGTTCCTGCCCCAAATGCGTGGCAGAGGCAGATGAACCCAACGTGACCTCCGAGGAGGAGGAAGACGAAGAGGAGGAAGAAGATGCAGAGCTGGGGGATGAGATGACTGATGTGTGATGTTGCCTGCATAGAAAGGCCCTACTCAGACCCTGCCGGGAAAGGGGGCCTTCCCTCAGAGAAGAGGCTTGGAAGGAACTCCCCAGACCCACTGCCTGCTTCCCCTCCTTCCAGTTCTGGTTCTGCGGGAGGGTAGGACAGAGGCTGGCCCCTAGGCTCTCCATCCCCCACCAGACGTCATGCCCTGGACACTGCTGCTGAGCAGCCTGGGCTCTGCACTATCACTGAGCCTTTCCAACCTGCTTCCCCTGAGGCACCTCACTTCAGGGTGTGAATGGCGAGAACATGTCAGGGCTTAGCAGTGTTTCTTCCCCTCGGCCTCCTGGCCATGCTTACCCATTCACCTGAGGCGCCACCTTCTCAGTGCTAGTGAGAGGGTAACAGAGTGGCAAATCAGAATAGTGTTAGCTTATGGAAGAAGGGAGGTGCCCTACCTTCCCCCACTACACTATTGTAGTCGATAAGGCAACTGTTCGGCTGCTTACGTAGCTGTGAGGGTCAGGAAAGAAGAACTGGGCATCCAGAGCACCGTCCCTATGGCTCTCTTCCGTCGGGAGAACACTGAGCCAGGGGCATTACCTCCCTCTCCACCTCTTCAAGCTCACTGTCAGACATCTGGGCTACTTAGATTAACCTCTCCGCCACACTCCAGAATCTGTGCTTGTGCCTTGCCCCTCAGGCTCTGGCATAGTGGCTGGCCCCTTTGGGGTATGGAAGAGGCTTCTGCCTCCCTCAGGAGGAAGGGGCAGATGGGGTATCTTCACCCTTTCTCCGTACCCTTGTCCCACTGAGGACTCCAGCAACGTGGCTGAAGCCTGGGCGTTGACGTGCCCATGCTGCTTAATTGAGGATGCTCTCGCCTCTTCGTGGGACCAGGTTAATAGGAGTCAGTGAGACTCCTGCCCTGGATCTCCATCTTTAGGGTCTCCACAGAAGAACATTGAAGTCTTCCAAAGACCTGAGGAGCTGGGCTACTCTGAGATCGGCCCTGACCTGCCCTCTCCCCTCAGATTAGCACTACCCCTCTCACTCCTAGGTTGGACATTGTGGGAATTCCAACTCCTTTCACCCAGTTCCTTCCAGCTTACCTTCCCTGAGAGGCCTGCTGCCCCCACACACCCCCCTCCCCTGAGGGATCCCAGGGAGGGTAGGTGCCCCACAAGCCCTTTCCTGGATTGTGGAGCCAGGTGGTGCCTGCCTGCCTGGCCTGTTGGGTTCTTCACAGCAGCTAGTATCCCCTCCCACCCCATCTGCCCACTATTCTCAATAAAATGTGAATGGTGACAGGCCTCTGCAGGAATGCTTTGTGGAGCGTGATCTGACAGGCTGTCTGACACACAACAGGCCAAGTAAATGGTGCACAGGAGAGACAGGGTGATAGGAGGTAGGGCCTCCAGCTCCCCACTTTGGGCTCATCTGTGGCCTCGACTAACTCTGCTGTATAAATGTTTCTAAGACCCAAGAGGAAGGGTCCTCTGAGGTCCAGTGTCCATGCCTGCTACAAGATGAGTCTTCTCTGTTGAGATCCAGCATTAGCAGTCCAAGCATTGGTCCTCAGGATAGTGATCAAGTCATGTATTCCCTCCAGGTCTCAATCAGTCCCTCCTGAGGCCCGGGGTCAGAGGAGTGTCTGAATACCACCCTTTCCCCCAACCCCCACCCCTGTGGCTTTTATTCTAGGACACAGTTGCAACCCTGATGAGAGGCTTTATTGCTAAAAAGTCTGAGGGTTTATTGAGTCCCCAAACACCAAATCCTTAAACCACACCAGGAACTGCTGTGAAGAACATTGTGAGGAGAAGACCCTGGGTGGGGGAGACTGGAGTCAGATGGGACTTGGTAGGTCACAAATGTCATTTGTAGCTCTCAGGTTATTTGCCTTTAACTTCTTTTGTTCCGCATTCTACCCAGAAACCCTGAGACCTGGCTCTTGCGAGGTCAGCATGAGATACCCTTGGGTGTACCCTGGGGAAGGGAAGGCCAGGGGTACAGCTTCCTTCAGCCTCGCCAAGGCCCAAGTCTGTGGCCTGTACCTGGCTCCACCTTTCCCCAAACACTAGCCCCAAATCCCAAACCGCAGAATTCCTGGATTTCCCCTCTCCAGCCCAGAGTTGCTTATGGCAGGAATGCGGGACCAGTTCTACCAGAAGGTCCAGGGTGGCTGCAGCAGCTCAAAGGTGGGGATGCTGGTGACATTAACTGGGATGGAAATGATGGCCCATGGCAGCCCATGCTGTTCCAGGGAGCGGCGGATCATGTAGCTGGGAGGGCATGAAGAGAGGTGGTGACGGTCACTTTCTCAGCACCCAACATGCCCCACTGTCCCCATCGCTGGGGATTTCAGTGCCCAAGGACTTGTGTTGCCCTCCAACTGGGGCACCCCAAGATGGGGCTTGAAGGAGGGGACTGGTGATTGCCCTTGACCTCCCCAAGTTATGGCACCCAGCCTCATGCTGACAGCCAAAAATAAGGGGCCCTCACCCATCTCGGCCGAGTAGGAATAGGGCAGGGATGTCAGCAGTGCGCTGGGTACTGTCCTGGATCATCTCCACGTAGAAGCTGTCATTGTCAACCGCGTTGTCAGAGATGATCACCGCCCGCCCGCCATGCTCCTGCACCACCCGGGTCTTGGAAAGGAAGGAGCAGCCCCTGGAAGAAGTGGTGATAAAATCAAAGGAAGGTGGATCCTAGCTACCCCTCCTCTAGACCACCACCCTGGGAGGATGAAAGAAGACCATGGAGAACTTTAAAAGGCTTTAAAACCAAAACACATGGATAAGCTTAAGCTATTTCTTAAAATTATCAACAGCTATTTCAAAACACCACTGCTAACACTGGTCGCAGTCTACCCTCTGCCTGCCCTCCCATGCCCATGCCCATGTGCTCCTTACCCCCTCTCCACCAGAGCGATCTGGTCCTGGATGAAGAAACCGTTGCTGAGTTCCCCACAGGCCTCTGAAGGTTCCGCCGGAACAAGGTGAATCTGCTCATACCGTGTGTGCTGAAAAACGTTAGACTGGTGAGAATGTAAAGAGATTTTCAGATCAAGCTGACAGTCCCACAGAGTGTGACGGAAATGTGCTGTGATTTCTGGTGCTGAACACTTACGCATTTTCACTTCAGTCTCGCAAAGGTTTATTCTACCCCAGCCTGCCTTTCTGTGAGATCGGTGAGTTGGTGTGGACCCAGAGACGGGAAGTAACTTGCTTTAAGACACAATGTTCAGAGGGGGGCTAGCAGAGCCCTTGGTCTTTCATTAATGTCCCCAAAGAGAACAGTCGATCCCTCCATGGTGCCCAGGTCTATTACATCCAGTGAGGCAACTGGAAGCTCCTCTGCACTATAGCCCCTGAGGGGGCTGAGCTGGAGTCTGCTCCCTTCCCTGTCCCAGAACCCAGGTATTGGTTGAAGGATAAGAGAGCCACTCAGCTTAGTGAAGAAGAGGAAGAGAGGTTCAGAAATGGTGAGGGAGGGAAGAGGAGAAGCTCTCTGAACTTACAAAGATACCACCAAAATCTTTGGCAGGTGTGGCTGTGAAGATGTAGCGAATGTCCCCAGGACTCAGCACTTGAAAATACAAATAGTCATGGATGCGTAAACCTGAAAGACAAGGGTACAGGTGAGAAGCCTCCAGGGAACAAGCTAGTTCAGACTCAAATCATGGATCCTGGGTCTTCAATTGAGTGGGTGATAGTCTGGGCCCAGGGATCCAGCTTTAGCAAATTGGGTCCCCCAGGTTAGTGGGACAAATGGGCTCTGTTCTTGGAATGACAAAATTGATGCAGACATATTAGTAACCGCAGAGATATATAGCTGTTGCTGCTTACACAAGTGAGCCAGGAAGACAGGGATCTAGCGTTATCTCTGAAGGTAAAGCAACCTGTCATTGCTCTGAGTGGACCTGGGGGCTCCAAGGTGGAGATACAGTAGCTTGGGGACAAACATTTCTCAGTAAAACTATCAGTTTCAACACTGTCTCCCTTACTCCCCCCACTATCATATCTTAGCCTGACTGCCTCCAGCTTTTTCACTGGTCTTTTGGCCTCCATTCTCGCTCACTAAGATTCACTCCCCAAACAACTGCCAGGGATCTTCTTACAACTTCTTAAGAGTGTGATCATGTCATATGCCTGAGGTCTCAATACAACAGCTTCCCTTTACACTTAAAATCTAAACTCTTTCACGATTGCCTGCAAGGCCCTACTCCATCTGACCTGCAGCTACTTTTCCAGTCTTGTCTCCCTCCTATGTTCAAGCCATACTGGCCTTCTCTCCGTTTCTTCATTTCTCTACTTCTTACAAGCTGTTCCCTCTATTGGAGAGTTTTCCTACCTTCACCCCATCTCTTTACCTGGCTCAATGCTATTCATCCATTAGCTCATAGATTAAATAAATATCACTTTCCCAGAGAAACCACTATGACTGCCCTCTCTTTCAATTTGAAAGTACATTCAAAGTGTACTTTTTCTTCACTGCACTTTCAACATGTTTTAAAGATGTATTTATGCATAAAAGAACTGGGGTGTAGGCCAGAGGTATGAAGGGTGGTAGGGAAGTCATTGAGAGGATTCACCAGAAACAGTGGGGAGTAAAGCAGGTGCATCTCCTGAAATATACTGCTGAGAGGAGCAGCAGGCTAGACAGGAGAGGTCAACCTCATCATGTGGGTCATCACTTCCCTAGTGGGGGATCAAACTCACACTGCTCATGCTGCAGTGACTGGTGATAACTTTACAGGGCTGGCCCACTTCCAACATAATTTGTCAACATAATTTAAACCTTATATTTTTGTAGTTTTTGGTCAAATGTTTGCCTCCCCCCCCCAAGACAAGGACCAGGAGTTTATAGCTTCATTCAATGTTGTATTCACATTACCTAACATAAGGACTAGAAGATAGTGGGTGTTCAGTAAGTCGTTGAATGAATGAACAACTATTTCCAGCTCTCCTGCACTGAGGAAGACAATTGACAGAGGTACCAGGTTTTTCTGGGTTGCGGCAACTTTTCTTTTGCTCTGAAGTTTAATGTTTTATCTGTAGTTGAAACCCTGGTTTCCTTAGCCCAAAGAGATTGAGGAATGTGGAAATATGGAAGCCACTGCACAGGTTGATTGCTCAATCAACAAACTATCAAGTCACAACTGTGCCAAGATCACAGGATTGTGGCTTTCTGCCTAGATCACAGCCACCATGTAGAGCTCCATTGGCTTGGCACTGATCTATATATGCATTCTATTAACCTGGAGGAGGAGACTTCCCATCAGATAAAAGTACACTCCCAGGAAGCCTTCTGGATTAGCACTAAGCTCCCCCCTCCTTCCCACAGACATCTTTGTCTGACCTTTTGCATCTGCTGATCTGTATAAATTAAGCATGAGTATATATACATGCACAGGTTTTTGTGCTAGTGGAGGTGGTGTGTATGTGAGTCCACAGGTAGGAACCTGAGCTCCTGTGTATGTATGTGAGCACTCACATATTTCCAGGTTATAATATCTAACCATATTCCTCCTAGTCGCCCCCTCAGCCACCTGAGTAGGCGCTCATGGGGGGGGTGCGGGGGACGGGTTTGGAGGCGGGCTTGTTTCGACGTGAGGAGCTGAGGACTCTCGAGTCCAGACTCAGGCTGCGCCAAGCTCAAATCACTGGAGATCGGCGCCCACCCAACTCCAGCCGCCCGTCCCCGCTCCTGCCCCGCTCTAAACTCCTAGCTAGGGTCTCCAAGGTGACCCGTGGCCCCCGACCCGAGATGCGCGCAAGCCTGACGGCCAACCCCGCCCCGCAGCGCAGCCCCGCCCGTTGCCGCTCACCGTGGGCCGCGACGCACGCGGGGAGCCAGAGCACGAGACAACACCAGCCCGCGGCGCCGGGGACCATTTCCAGGGCCCGGTCCGGCGCCGCGCTACCTCCAGCCGCCCGGCCGCGCGTCGCTCTCCGGACTTCAGCCTGACAGCTGCTCCGGCCTCCTCCCACAGACCCGCTCTAGCAGCCAGTTGGCTGAGAGGAACGAAGCCCACGCCTGATTGGCTCTGACGACTGCTCATGTAACTGCACTTTCCGCCTCTGCGCCTTGGTCTACTTTCTATTGGTCGAGAGAAGTGGAACCGAAGGCTGATTGGCCTAAACTCTAATTAGCAACTGCTGGCTCCCACCACAGCCCCGCCCCCAGCGTTTGTCAGGTGGGAGCCCACTCTCCCGGCGCTCGCTGGCAGGTGGGCTGTCTGAGGAGGCCTGGGCCCTGGAAGTAGGCGCTCGGGCCGACTCACTTCAGTCACCGACGGTCCCAGCAGTCGCGGGCCGCGTCGCAGACAAAAGTCTGCCTTCTCCCAGCTGTGATCCCCTTCTCTCATTCCTTCCTTGAGTAGGCATTCGCCTAACGCCTAAGTGGTTTCTCGCGGCTCCTGCTCTGCCCACGTCCACCATCAGGGGTACTGGCGTCGCGGCCAGATGCACCCCACCCTCCAGGAGACAGACCATTGCAGAATTAGAAAATGGACGTTGGCGTCAGGTGCCTACACCCACTTCTCTGCCACTTACTGTGAAAATGTGACTTTGGAAACCTTTCCTAACCGCTCACCCTAGGCACCCTCATCTGTGAAACAGTCATGGTAACAGTACTAATGCGGTGGAGTACTAAATGCGAACACCCTCGTTAAGTGCTTGCTTTGCCTAAACCGGCTAATAAAAGTCTGCATTTACCGCACTCCTTCGTCTGGCGTCCTGGAGAATGGGGCAGACAGGGGGACATGGACTTAGGGTTAGTAGGTGACTCGGGCCGAGCAAGAACTCTCTACACCAAGAGAGAGAGGACAACGGAAATCCTGCAGCCCTCCGATAACCAGCACTTCTCGCCAGAGCGCCTGACAACACCCAGCCTCTGGCCCTTCTAGCCAAACCGACTCTGTGGTCGAACCATAGAGTGGCGGAAGTGGTCCGTCCCCTTCCTCTCCGGGTCCAACGGCTTGGCGAAGTTTCTGGGGATTTCTTTAGCGCGGGGCATTGTGGGTTTGCTGGGCGGCCTGAACGAGAAGCCAGAAGTATCAAGCCACTGCTGAATAAGCGTCCAAGATGATGGTGAGTGGCGTATCGCGCATCCTTCGCCATCCACAGCCATCTGGCCCATGGTTACCGCCATTTGACTGGGTTCTGTTCCACAGGGCCCTCCTCTGCCTACTGACTCTGTCCTCGACCCGGACCCTGTCTGTGGGCGACCCCGGCCCACCGCGGCCTTACTTGGCCCCCGCAAGGAGCAAGGGCCCTGTGAGGCTCGAGGGCAGCCTCTGGGCGGGAGGGATGGGGACTACAGGTTCCAGGCTGCTTCGGGGCCGCGTACTGCTTTCGGGTCTGGGGTGGGTTTTGTTTTTTGTTTTGTTGTTATAGTCCCCTCACAGCCGTGATCCGAGTTACAAGATTATGGGTTGAGTGTGTGCATATGCGGTAGTCGGTCAGATAATTCCCTGAGCGCGCTGGGAAATTATCGATGTAAAGATGTGTGCTTCCGGAACGGCCACCGGCAGCGTGGAAACTTTAAAATTGGGTCTAGTCTAAGATAGCATCTAGGGTCTCACGCTGTCCCCCAGCAGGCCCATTGGTCCAGAGACCGATACTGGATGTACTATGCCCAGATAGTTGAGGGTGCAGCTCCTGAGCCAGGAGGTTGAGCAGGGCTGATGGAGACACCAGACAGGAGGTGGGGAAACCTGAGACCTTGACTCTGACCCTGCCAGTCCATCCCGAATATGACATGAGAGGTTTTTCTAGTTGGCCACCCAGTTCTGGGCTTTGCTTAGTTAAACTAGGGGGCTTGGCGAATCCTGGAGGCTCACTTCCCTCCGTGGCATCCCTTTCCTCTGTCTCAGAGCTGCAGGTAACTGCCGTGGATTGCACACAACTGTGGTCTCTCCCTAGTTGCTAAGCAGAGCCACTTATAAAGAAATGTACCGAGGGAAACCCTAAGATGTTGCTCCCTGTGTCCTTGCAGTTCATTCGTTCATTCATTCATTCTGACCTACTAGTTCAAGTCACTTCTTCCCTGCTTCCTGAAGCTTCTTTGTGCTGGTAGATGTCAGTTGATAGCTGTGAGGTGTTCTATCTGCTGCTAAATACACTGTGAATCCAACTTGTGTGCCAAGATTGAAGGAACTTGGTATTTGTCTGTATTCCTCCCCTTCTTACCTCTACTACAGTCCATTTCAGTACATCTTCGTCTTTTCTCATATTCCCAAAGTCATCCTCTGAGAGTAAGGACTCTGGGCCACACTTCATGCAGAAGTGTGTAACTCACTGTCACTTACTAGCTGTGTGGATTTGAGCATGTTACTAAATTTCTTGCTCTCAGTCTGTTAAATGGGATAGCAACAGTGTATTGGTTTATGGGATTAAGTGAATTAAATAAAGTGCCCAGCATGAAGTGAAGTGTTTAGCAAATGTTAGCTCTTCTGCTAGGTGGTTGGGTCCTTTCTCCTTTGTAATCATCCCGTCAAGGAGCCTGTAGCGTTCTGGTTGGTATTCAAAGGATGGGGTGGTCAGAGCCAGAGTTCTGCCCTCCTGATAAAAGCCCTTTACCAAAGAACTCCAGACTGACATGTTTCACTTTCTCCTTGTTTCCTTGCTGTATTGGCTGCCTGAATCTCTTCTCCTTTTGGAATGTAAAACTTCTGTTGCCAAGTTTCTTCCTTGCTGTCATCCACTTGGCCCCCGATATGCTTAAAGCCTTCTGTGATTGGAAGAAAGGTAGAAGGATTCATTGAAACCCCACTCTGAGACTTGGAAACAGTTTGTACAGAATACTTTCCTTGCCTTTTTGGTGTTGAGCACTGTGTGCCTTGGCATATGAACACTTGTTTTATAGAATATCAAGTTTAATAGTGTTTAATACAAATTTTTGAGGAGAATGAAGATCATTCAACTGAAATTCCAAACCTTTCATTAATACCCTTGGTAGTAACTCAATTACGTTATTGTTCTTTACAGAGTAAAGGTGAGTGAGGTTAAAAAGTAATTTAAGGACAGAAACTGGACTTCATCTAATAGGCACCTCCCGCTTCAACTGCCTTAGCGCATTCTAACTCTGCCACCTTTCTCAGTCAGATCTCTCATCCCAGTTTGCTTTTTCTGTATTTTCACAGCATAGAGAACTCAGGTGACTGTGGTCAGCTACTTTCAAGTCCATTTTGCCCTGTGTTTAAGAATTCTCAGTCAAGTTAATGTCACCATACTGCCGGTGCTTTTCCAAAAATGAGGATTATGCTATCTTATTCATGCTTTATGTCAAACGCTTCCAAGTATTAAATATATGTGAAGTTGATGTTTCAAACACCAAATGTTACTGTATTATTGCTTCATATGTGACAAAAAATTCCTTACAAGATAAAGCAATAAGAAAATTATGGGATTCCCTGTTTAGGATACCCTGGCTAACTACTGAAGAGAAGACTGGAACTCCGAGTTGCTTGCCTGGTGGTAGAAAATGGTTTGGTAGAAAGTGGCAGTGTGGCTTTTGTAGATGGGGATCACAGTTTGTGTGTGGAGGTAAATAAAGGTCTACAAAAACATTGGATAAGTTAGCCTGTTAGAAAGGTGAAAGAACTGTATCGGAGGAAAGATTGACTGACTTTAAAAGTGTACTACCATGTTCAGAGCAAGGGTGGACTAGAGAGTACTTGAGGCTGCCATGAAGAATGATTTAAGTGAACTGAGAGAAGGTGACACCTTTTAGAATTTGCATCTGTCCTTACAGAATACCCCAAGGACCAGGCCCACCAAAGATCCCAGAAGAATACTGGCAGTGTACAGAAGCCAATTCTTACCACTAGACTTGGGACATTACCATAAGAAATAAGGAATTATCCCTCCAGCACGTGTTTGACCCCAAGTCATAGACTAATAGCACACACAGCTAATATATCAAAATTTTAGAAATAGTACTTAACCCTTACTGTATTATGTTTCACACAGACATAATTAGTCACAAGCCCTGGGAAGATTGGGTTTGGCTCATCAACTCAGCTCAATGGGCATGATCTTGGCTATGGTGAGAAAGCTCCCTGTTTTGTTAAGCTAAAGAATTACTGTCTCTTTGAATGATCATTGGAGCAAAATTGTCTAAGGCCCTTTAAAATAAGCAAGTATCCTTGTCTTACCAGAGTTTCTAAAGCAGGTCTGCAGATTAAGTGTCTAAGAGAATTTAGTGGCTATTCTAGAGATCAGTGTAAAAAAGAAAACACTTCTTTGGAAAATCTGGTTGGAGAAAAACTTTATGGAGCCAGCCTGAAAGAGGGAAACATAAAAATGAGATTTGTTGTCAATTTATGAGGTAGGACAAAGGTGCTATTTGTGGCTCTGCCTGGCTATTTTCTAGGTAAAGCTGCTTTCAAGGGTATCTCTCAGACAGCTCCTAAGGTGGTTGACACTTTGTATTTTATGTCATTGCCCTTGTATATTTCTCTAGGATAAAAGCTCTTCACACCAACTAATACATAGATGCTTTGCTGGAGGATGAGCCCGGAACATACCTGCTTCTTCTCCCTGTGTTGTGGCCTGATTCCTCAACACTGGAAATAGGTTCTTGTAGCTTAAATTAGTGCTTCTCAAACCACTTTCTAACACACTTTCAGGATGTGTTGTCACCATGGTAGTGTGTGGAGGTAGAGGCCAGTGTACAGTTAAAGATTGCAAGTGGAGGGCAGTTGGAGAATATGATTTTAAAGTGCCTTTAGCTGTTTCCATTATGGGGAAGTTGGAAGCATTTTTCCTCTCCCCTTCCTCTTTGAGTCATTATAATAGATGATTATTAAAAGCAACCAATGCTTTCTTCTCTAGCCCACACCAGTAATCCTGTTGAAAGAGGGGACTGATAGCTCCCAAGGCATTCCCCAGCTTGTAAGTAACATCAGTGCCTGCCAGGTGATTGCCGAGGCCGTAAGAACCACCCTGGGCCCCCGTGGCATGGACAAACTCATTGTGGATGGGAGAGGTAAGTGTGCAGGAGAGGAGAAGCTCCTTGGAGAGCATTTGGGGTTCCTGGCGGTTAGCATCAGAAATCACTGCTTTTAAGATCTCTGAGAAATTGCTCATTGTGAAGCATTTCTGTTTCATACATTCATTATCCCAGCACTGGGGGACTATATGTGGAAATCTGGGCTTAAGAGCTTGTTGTCTCATGAAGAGATAAAACCTAGAAACATGAAATAGAACCCCCAGCATAGTCATTGTATCATATTTCCAAGACAGTGGGTAAATCTCCCTTATGTTTTAGTATATTAGATTACATGTGTGATACTGGTGTGTCCATTGTTAGTATCTAAGTTTTTACTCATCCTTATTTGGTAACATCTATTTGAGGTATGCTGATTTGCTGCTCAAAGAAAATCAGGAGCTCATGGTCTTTGGTCTTATGGAAATTTGTGATTTTAAGTGGTCCTTTGCACACAAAAAAGGGCAGACTGGTATTCCCCTTCACTCCTGCCATAATCTCTGCCTTGCTCCAACAAAGTGCACATGGGACCAAGTCTTAAATTGAGGTTATCAGAAGGGGAGGTGAGGCCTCTGGAGAGTAGCATATGGAGGCACTTAGTGGGCTTTAGTGGAGGGTTATTGGTACCACTGGGGCGTGTAGTGTAATGACATAATTTGAAGACCCTACACCACTAAAACATAGCATTATAGATCAGTATTACCTCCCTCAAAATAATTAAGATAAATTTTAAAAAGAAAAAGGCCTTTAATTTTTTTGTTTTGTATTCCTTCTAAGGCAAAGCAACAATTTCTAATGATGGGGCCACAATTCTGAAACTCCTTGACGTCGTCCATCCTGCAGCAAAAACTTTAGTGGATATTGCCAAGTCCCAGGATGCTGAGGTAGGAAAATCAATCAAGCCTGTATGTTTAAATGGGGGTGGGAACACCCATGCTCTCCTCAAAATCTTGTGATTTTTATATGTAAAGTTGTGATTGCACAGATGCTGCATGCTTATAAAGATACTTGGATGGAATTAGTAGTCTTTTTAAAATACGTACTATTTCATTGCAAGTAGCCAAGGTCTGGAAAACCAGGACCAGGTGCTGTCATGCAGATGAGTTGCTAGACAAATAATTTAAACTCTGACCTATGGCTTCTCTAGTGGTGCCAGGTGTTAAGTGTCAACACTATGAAGCTATCAACACCCACTGTAGCAAGAGTTTGATCCCCTCCAGGGAAGAGCCCCACATGGCGCAGCAGACCTCTCCTGCCTCACCTGCTGCTCCCCTCAGCAGTGTATTTTAGTCCATCTGCCTGTTCTGCTCCCCACTCTGTCTCTGGTGAATCCTCTCATCCCCGACCCCTCACACCTCTGGCCTGTACCCAAGCTCTTATATGCATAAATAAATAAATCTTTAAAAATAAATAAACTCATCCATTAGTCACCATATAAAATGGGACTAGAAACACTATATTGCCCATGTACTTTTTTTTATGGTGGAGTTTGCCATCATTTTTTGTTGTTGTTTTTCAAAGATTTTACTTAATTATTTTTGCATAGAACTGGGGTGCAGGCCAGAGGTGTGAGGGGTCGGGGAGAAGAGGATTCACCAGAGACAGAGTGGGACACAGAATAAGCAGATCTACTGAAATACACTACTAAGGGGAGCGATGGGAAAAACAGATGTCTGCAGCACCAAGTATGTTAGCTCTCTGGCCAGGGGTCAAACTTTGGTAGTGCTGAAACTTAACTAGGCCACCAGGGAGACCCAGTAGTTTACCATCTTAATGTGTATAATTAAATGGTATCAACTAGCTTACCTTTTTTTTTCCTTCTTTTTTAAAGATTTATTTCTTTATGTATACAGAACTGGGGTACAGGCCAGAGGTATGGGGGGCGGGGGTGAGATGATTCACCAAAGACAGAATGGGAAGCAGAACAGGCAGATTGAAATACATTGCTGAGGGGAGCAGTGGGCGGGTCAGGACAGGAGAGGTCTGCCACACCCTGTGGGTCACTTGTGTTGCAGGGGCTTAGGTAGCTTCATAGTGCTGTGCTTTAACCTGGTGTTATTTTTGGAGTCTGGGAATGCTCAGCACGTTTCTATATCATTTAGTAGTAATAGCACTCCTAGTCCTAAAACATAACTAATCAAATGCTGTCAAATAGGAGACTTCCACTTTTGGATAGTAAGGGAACCTGTAAATGTTGAGAGAGATAGCTGTACCTTTTAAAGTATTATAGTGTGTCCTGAAGTTAGATTAAAATGTTTATTGGAGCCTAGTAGCATATGAGACTGTATGATTTAATTAAGTGAGTCTTCAGCAAGGAAGTACTGCCTTCCTGTCCAGAAGCCTTGACAGCTTAATTCTTCACCACAGTAACCCTTTATCACCCCCCACACCTTGAGATTCCTTTATAAGTTGAATTAGATATGTGAGTTAAATTTCTTCTAAATGAAAGGCAATCTAGAGTTCCTAATAGTCCTAATTCTTTTTCACCACTAAAAAATATAGCTTAGATCCCATCATAGAAAATTGCCACGTAAGAAAGATTAGTGGACTAAGTAATAAGCTTATTCCAAACAGTGAAATAGTGTTTAAAATGTAAAGGAGGCCCTCTCTGGTGACAAAATGGGTTAAAGTTTGGCACTATGAAGCTGTCCACAGCCACTGCAGCACAAGTTCGATTGCTGGCCAGGGAGGTGACCTACATGGCGCAGCAGATCTCTTCTGTCTCGCCCACTGCTCTCCTCAACAGTGTATTTCAGTCTGTCTGCCTGTTCTGCTCCCCACTTTGTCTCTGGTGAACCTTCTAACCCCCTGCACCTCTGGCCTGTACCCCAGTTCTTAGATACATAAAATCTTTTCTAAATAATAATTTAATTTGATTTAATTAAGTGAGAAGAATATGGGTTCTATCTGTTAGTCTTCAGCAAGGAAGTACTGCCTTCCTGTCCAGAAGCCTTGACAGCTTAATTCTTCACCACAGTAACCCTTTATCACCCCCCCACACCTTGAGATTCCTTTATAAGTTGAATTAGATATGTGAGTTAAATTAATATTAATGTAAATATTAATATTAATGTAAAGGACTTGGGCTGATCTCTGGGAGGTTGTGTTATAGTGGGAATTGGTTGAAAATTATCTCCTTATAAATTCCTGCAGTTCTTTGTGCTCCTGAAAGAATATTTGCCTCATGCCTTTTGCTACCATAATTTTTTTGTGACAAGCATGCATTGTATTATAAGTATCATTTGATGGTCTTGTAGTACATAATAAATAAGTCATTAGTTAATTTGTGTGTGGGGGTTTTTTTGTTGTTGTTTTTTTTTAATCTGGAGGAATTTTGATTATCCCGTGAGCTCTCTTTGAAGAATGAGCCTGGATGAGGAATTAAATTTTGGCCTAAAACCATTGAATGGGACGAATACCAAACTACCAACCCTCTTTTTTCTACTTATAAAAACCTGTGCTTAACACCCATTTAAACAGCCCTCAGTTTCAATGGGCTTATTGCCCAAAAATGGGGTTGGGGGGCTTTATTCCTGCCATGAGAAAGTATGACTTTTCCTGTTGTCCTTTTCCAGGTTGGTGATGGCACCACCTCAGTGACACTGCTGGCTGCAGAGTTTCTGAAGCAGGTGAAACCGTATGTAGAGGAAGGTTTGCACCCACAGATCATCATCCGAGCTTTCCGCACTGCCACTCAGTTGGTATGGGAGTATTAACTAACTTGGCCTTGTGCCCAGGCACCTTCTGATTTTCTCAGGATAAAACTTTAGTAGGGTGTGGAAGGACTGGGGTTAGGGTTCCCTGGACATTTCATGAATTGTACTTTCAAGGAATCTCAGTTATAACATTTAGTGTCTGTTTGACTTAGTACTTAGTCTTTATGCTTCAGGTTCCCTGGTAGCCTTGCATATAGACGTTATCATAGACTCACTTAGTGATTGCTATTTTTGTTTTAATCAGGTACATTGTGCCATATCTTGAGACCTTGCTTTTATTGACCTTTATTTTGTGATCTGGGGCAAGTAAATTCCCCAGGCCTTACTTTTCCCCATCGCTGACTCTGGGAGTGACACTAAAATCATAACTAAGAATTACTTAGGAAAAGACACAAAGGCGTATAAAACAGCTAGTTAACATGTGACATAATAATGTATACTATATTAAGTGTTAGAAATTATTAAGTATTTTTCATAAACCAGAAAGTTAGGCCTAATCTAGTGTGGTAGCTTGTTTCTACTCATTTGTTTTAGTATATTACCTGTTAAGTCCAAAACTAAATCCTGAAACCACCCCGATGATTCTTCAGAACTGTACCTACACTACATTTCTAACTTTAGGAGTTTTCTAAACTAGAAGTTTATATTTTTCTGCACAGCTGCAAGACTGAGGAAACTCATTTCAACTGTAGAAGAATAGAAACGCTTAATATTTAGGGGTAAACATATTGGGGACTGGCAAAAGAGACTGGAATCTACTCTTATTTGTCTTTAGCATGAGAGACTTACTCAACTTTTGTTCTTGACAGGCAGTTAACAAGATCAAAGAGATTGCTGTGACTGTGAAAAAGGCAGATAGAGTGTAAGTTTGTAATGGGCTTTATCAGAATATTGACTTTCTCTGGTCAACTTGTATATAGGATTTTGTGATTTCTGTATGGGGCTGGGACTACACAGTTCTTGCTTTGTGACTCAACTCAGCACAAAAGAGACCATAGACTGGATTTTAAAACTGTCATATGTGAGTCCTTTGACTGCAATCACCATCAGTGATAATCTGTCCTAAGGATATAGAAGATGGAGTTTGGTAAGGGTGAATTGGCTAGAACAAAAACTGTCTATACATTGCAAGAGATTTAGACAAGGGGGTGGGGGAGTCCTGCCAAGGCCTGATTCAGGTCCTACCCTTCTGTCCCAGGGAGCAGAGGAAACTGCTAGAGAAGTGTGCCATGACTGCTCTGAGCTCCAAGCTGATCTCCCAGCAGAAAGCTTTCTTCGCTAAGATGGTGGTGGATGCAGTGATGATGCTTGATGATTTGCTGCAGCTTAAAATGATTGGAATCAAGAAAGTGCAAGGTGGAGCCCTTGAGGTAAGCCTGTAGTGGCCTCCCTCAGAAGCTGTTGCTTGGGTCAGTTGATACAGGAGAACACTTACTACAGTTGTAGAAAGAACTTACATTGGACTAGAAGTCAGACTTGAATTGTAGTCCACATATTGCCACTCTTGGCTGTTGCTGAAGATAAATTTTGTATCTGTAGACCATTAACTTTTGTCAGCAGAATCGAAGACACTAGTTGATTTTTCAGAATCACAATGCTAAAGTGTGAGAGGGTAAAACTGGCTTTGATAAATTATTTATAAACTTGGTGAATAAATCTGAGAAGCACTTTTTAGTTCATTTTTCTCCAAGTGATATAATCAGCTCTCCTTTTATTAATTTTTTTAAATAGGTAATGCATAGGTCAAACTTTATAAAAGAGTCTAAAGTAAAAAATAAATGTCCCTTACACCACTTCTGCCCCTGCAACCAATATTGTAGGTGGGTGTTTCCCTTCCTATATAAGTAATTGTGTGCATCTCTATATAAGTAATTGTTTCTTAGACATAAATGATTATAATACACCATCCTGATGTCCATTTAACAATATTTTAGGAGTTGATCCATGTAAGCATATGTACTCTTAACTCATTGCTACCCAGAAGGTCTGTGTGATAGTGAGACTGTTAAACACATGTGTTTGTTATGGTAGCCAGTAGCCGGTATGGCTAATGGGCACTTGAAATGCAGTTAGCTAATGCAACTGAGGAACTGAATTTTAAATATAATTTTCATTTATTTAAATGTGAATGGCAGTGCATGATTGGTGGCCACTATATTACATTGTATAAGTGACTCATTTCTTTTTTAGCAGTGGTATCTATCTATTCCTTCTTAATGGAATGGGTGATGACAGGTCTTGTTAAGAAGCAAGTCTCTTAATAGTGCTGAAGTCAGTCCCAAGTACATTATGTCCCATAGGGTACTCTGTTTTGGCACAAGCAAAGAAGTAAGCAAAATATGTTCTATATTATTTTTCCCTACCTTTATGATAATGGGAAGGCTATGTTAACAACAGTGAAATAATGGCATCATCAGCTCTGCTTCACAGGGATGAACACACAAGCCCAGCATAACACTCATTAGCTTCATTTCGTTTTATGCTAGTACTAAATTTTGGAATATTTGTGTTTTTTGTTTTTGTTTTTGTTTTTAACAGGAGTCCCAGCTGGTAGCTGGCGTTGCATTCAAGAAGACTTTCTCTTATGCTGGGTTTGAAATGCAACCCAAAAAATACAATAATCCAACAATTGCACTTTTAAATGTTGAACTCGAGCTGAAAGCTGAGAAAGATAATGCTGAAGTTAGAGTCCACACTGTTGAGGTAGGCCCCAACAGCTAGCACTGGCATAGAAATGGGGAATTTTCTGGCCATTTTGGGCCCATCTGTTTCTTAAGCTCCTTGTGGACCCCTTTTTCCTGTATCCCTAAATGTTAATATCTGAATATCACCTGCTTCTTTTCTCATTCTAATGTTCCCTGAGTTTCCTCCACCTGAGGAGATTTGGATAACACAAGCCTTCTGAAACATCCCCTGACCCTGGCCCCCTCTCTAGCCATCCAGCTTAAACAGTATTTTGATTCTTTGTTGGTCAGATGTGGGATCCTCCCTTTTCAAACTGGGTCCCACGCTATAGAGTGAGTTGTGTTTCTGTCATTGAGGTTATCAAGGCTCACTGGAAGTAGTGGTGTCACCCAGCTGTGAGCTCTTTGGCCGTGTGTACAACACAGTATGGCTTATGAAAGGTGTCTTCCCTCTCACTGGGAACTTCAGAGGTGAACTGCCCCAGAGGAGGCCAGAACTCATCCAGGCCAAACTATTTTTCACATCTCCAGTGTGTTAGCTCTGAGTAGCTCCCAGTCGTGAGATTACTTTCTGGTTTTGTGTGTAAAAGTTTGTGTTTATGTTATTTTATGAGGGTCCTTGTTTACTTGGATTGAAGAGAGACTATTGTCCTCACTCCCAGCTAAATCAGCATACTTTGTTTTGGGGTTATTTTTTAGTCCCCATATATGCTAATCTCTACCATACCTTTTCTGGGTCTTTTCAGGACTATCAGGCGATTGTCGATGCTGAGTGGAACATTCTCTATAACAAGTTAGAGAAGATCCATCTTTCTGGAGCTAAAGTCGTCTTATCCAAACTCCCCATTGGGGATGTAGCCACCCAGTACTTTGCTGACAGGGACATGTTCTGTGCTGGCAGAGTACCGGAGGAGGATCTGAAGAGAACAATGATGGTAACCAAATTTTGAGAGACTTTCTTGACCTTTCTGGCCCTGGAGAGGTTTTCCTTTATGCCTGGTGTGCTGGTATGCACTGTCAAGTTGACATGTTGGTCCAACCTGTCTTTTTAACTTTTCAAAGAATCACTGCATAGTGTACATGTGCTCAGTTTCCAGACTGCTTTTACTCTTAACCAGAACAAGTCGGGAACCAAATCGACTTTGTGAAGAAACTTAGTGGTAATGCTCAAACAGCTGAGCAGGCCCAATTACTGGTGCTGCTAGCCAGGTTTCCTCCATTCTTGTGTCTCTCACAAGAGACACTTCTAGCTCTAAAGCACTGATCCTCGGTCTGCTTGCTTCACCCAAAGCCCCCCAGTTTGGAAGAGAGTGTGCTTGGTGAAGCTAAGTCTATCTCCTCTTAACTGGGCCTGTTTGCCTGTCATGTCTTGGTTCTGTTTTGTTCTGCCCTTCTAGAAAGTTTAAGAGTCACCTGCCAGTCAAGGGAGCAAGTGGACTACGCAGTTCAGAAGGCTCTGGGGCAGAGTACAACATGAGATTTGGTTTTGACACTAGGTGTCAGGAAGCTGGCTTCTAGCCTTGTGTAGCCTTCACTGCTGGATCACCTTGCCTTCTTGTGCTCCTAGGCCTGTGGAGGCTCAATCCAGACCAGTGTGAATTCTCTGTCAGCGGATGTGCTGGGTCGCTGCCAGGTCTTTGAAGAGACCCAGATTGGAGGCGAGAGGTGAGCCACCTCCCCGGGCTGCCTTTTGACTAAACTCACGACATTTGCCTGGGTCTTTCTGGCCTTTTCCATCTTCTGTGCATGTTCACTTGTACTCCCATGCTACTCTTTTCTTGAGTTCTCACCTTTTGGGATATAAAGAGCTCAGACATAGAGTGTTTCGGGAGTGAAGATCTTGTTGGATCTAAAGTCTGATTCCACATTTATGCCTTGTGCTGGATGCAGCCCAGAACTTCCCAAGAACATATTCTCACGTGTGGGGTTGGGGCAACTTAGTGAGAAACAGAAGAACAGCTGGTAGTGAGGTCAGAACACAGCAAGTTGGTAACATAAAGGAGCTGATGAATGTGATTTGACCCTGTATATAGGTACAATTTCTTCACTGGCTGCCCCAAAGCCAAGACTTGCACGATCATCCTCCGCGGTGGCGCTGAGCAATTTATGGAGGAGACAGAGCGGTCCTTGCATGATGCCATCATGATTGTCAGGAGGGCCATCAAGGTATTGGGCTGAGCACTCCCTGTGTACACGGGCTGTTCTACTTCCCAAACTAATAAGATCTTAGATTTGTGTGTTGCTTCCATTCCTACATAACCTGTTCTGAGTGGTAGCTGGTCCTCATGTGCCTTACAAATCAAGAGAAAGTGAGCCTCAGTCTCACAGTAGTAGGTCATGCTGCCTTAAAGGCTAAGACCCGTTTTTATGGATTAGCCACTCCAGCGTTGTACCAATGTCCTCAGGCACAGTTGTTTTCAAGATCAAGGTGATTTTGAAAATGATCAAAAGCCATATATATTCAGTGGGTTGAAGTTGGCATATGCTAGACGAGAGCTGTACCAGGATTCCTGGGACTTAAGGTGGGAGGAAGGACTGCGAAACCACTCCCTCTCTGGGCCTACAGATTGAATGGCTCCACTTGACCATGACTGGAGCTTGAACTGGGAGGATCTGCTTGTACTGAGATATGGGTCTGATCTCTGCAGAATGACTCAGTGGTGGCTGGTGGCGGGGCCATTGAGATGGAGCTCTCTAAGTACCTGCGGGATTATTCAAGGACTATTCCAGGAAAGCAGCAGCTATTGATTGGGGCATATGCCAAAGCCTTGGAAATTATCCCACGCCAGCTGTGTGACAATGCTGGCTTTGATGCCACCAACATCCTCAACAAGCTGCGAGCTCGACATGCCCAGGTGAGTCATTTCCCCAGGGCTCGGGGAGGGTTGGGTGAGGCTAGATCTGAGTGTGTGGGGCATGTACTGTGCTTGTTCACACACCTCATGTTCAGCCCAGTTGACACCAGCTGTTGATAACTGCCTCCTCTCAGGGCAAAGGGATAGCCATAGTGCCTGTACTAGGGGCACCAGGATTTCTCCAAGTGCTCCTGCCTCAGTGCAGTGAAAGGAACCTGAGGAGCCCTGTTGACATGCAGTCTTGCCATGGCTCCACCAACTCTAACCTGTGACCTCTGTGAGGACTTAAAATCATTCATTTGTTTTAGTAAATGTTTATTTGGAGATTTAAGTATTCAACACTGTAACGCTCAGTGACCTTGCTTCTGATTTTTGCCAGGATTTTATATACGTTACTCTAACACTGTCAGTTTTCTCATCAGAAAATGGGAGCTAATTGAAGCAGTGAGAGGATAAAGGAGATAAGGGATTGGAAAGGTTCCCCTTGAGAACCAGCTTGATAGACACAGATGATGCAGCAGCTCATCTGGAGCTCTAGTGTGATGGGCGTGCTGGTGTCTGAAGAGGGCAGACATGGGAAGAAATACACTTCCAGGTTCCTGATAAGACTCCTGACAGTGCTGCCTTACTCAGAAATGCCAGCAGGTTCAGAGTGTCTTTACAAGGTATGCAAGAAGAAATTTGAGGGCAGTTCCATATTACCTCCCTTTTTCCTGCTCTTTCAGGGGGGCATGTGGTATGGGGTGGACATCAACAATGAGGACATTGCTGACAACTTTGAGGCCTTCGTGTGGGAACCAGCTATGGTGCGGATCAATGCCCTGACGGCAGCCTCTGAGGCCGCGTGCCTTATTGTGTCAGTAGATGAAACCATCAAGAACCCTCGCTCGACAGTGGATGCTCCCCCAGCTGCTGGTCGGGGCCGAGGTCGTGGCCGTCCCCATTGAGGTGCGCCCCACTCCTCACATGAGTGGCTGGCAGGCTGGCTGCAGGGTGCACCACTCTCCTGGCTAATTGTGGTTGCAGGGGAGGAGCAGTGGTTGGCCCACTCTGTTCTCACCGGGGGTTATTTAAATAAAACTTGAGACTTATAATCCACTTTGCACGTTATTCAGGCTTGTTGGTGTCACTCATAAACGTCTTGACTGAAGCTCTGGATTTTAGCTTTACACACATTTATCTAAAAGGTAAAGAATCCTCTCTCACGGTGGAGTAAGTCATGGCAGAGTATGAGTTTCCTCTGTCACTGGGAGCTCCACCTGAGTGGCCTTGTGGAGAAGTTTCATTTTGGTTATTTTCTTTGCCCTGGAAGTGGCTGAGGGGTGCACAGGTGCTTCTTTGTTTCCATCGGCCTCGACCCTCGACCCTCGACCCCCGACCCAGTCAGGCGCTCTCACCAGTTACTTTTTGCATTTGTGTAAATGTGGTACAGTGTCTCACCTGCATTTTCTGCCTTTGTATTCTTTTGGCTGAATCTGTTGGCCCCTATTACCTAAGATCTTGCAGTTGAGTAGGCGATCTTGGAAGAATGTTTAGAGGGGCACATCCTCTCTCAACCTGGCTTCTTAGAAGGGGGCTTAAAAAAGTAAAGCACCTAGTCTTCAACTCAACCACTGATGGCCTTGGGGGTCCCTTTCACTTTCTTCTTACCAGGATAGTATGGAATGACCGGCACAGAGAAACTGGTAATCAACAGGGTCTCAAGTGCCTCCTTGAGCTTGCCAGCAGCTTTGTAGTTAGTTGATGTTTGCAGCTAGAGGTAAAAAATAATTACGTCATCTTGAGACCCTGCCTCAAGAGCACTACCTGAAAGTGGGACATGATTTTTTTTGTTTATAATCTCTTTTGAGTCTGACCAGTCCTGGTTATAGTCTCAAAAGCAGAATGGATGGTATCCATGATTGCAGTCTTTGGGTTAACAAGTTGTTTGAGCAATTTTACCTGTAAGCCAAAGGTAAGAATGCCTGACTCAGAGTTGGAGAGATAAATGTTCATTCTACTTATTTGACGCTAGAGGCACACATAGTTTTCTGATTATAAATATTTGAAGACACAAAATCTGTGGGGCAACCCCATTATGTAAAATGGGGACGTTGAGGTCACACTAGGATGGGCACTTGGAACTCCAAGCCAAAATCTTGATTAGCTGGCTAGGGCTTCTGGGGAGATCAGCAAGCCTGTGAGGGCCCAGGTGGTGCTTGCTGCTCTTGTGCCAGGTTTACCCTTAAAGCGGCCTCTCCCAACAGAAAAAAAAAATGCCACTCTAAGGCTTTTTGCTCTTGGCTGATACTGACAGGATGAACTGTGGCTGGGGCAGTAAACTGATTGGCTCTTCTCCAGTGATGTCTAAAGCCCTAAGACCGACTTCCTGGTATTTCGTTCACCCCCTACTGACACCTGCAGAATCACCTACTTCTTGCCTCAGTGCAGTTTAGCTGCAGAAAGACTTTTTTTTGTGACACAGTCTGACAAATAAACCTACTATTTACTCCCCCAAGGCAGATCTTCCAGTTTCACCATCTTTTATTGGATACAAAGTCGTAAATTCTCTGATGCCCATGGTTCTTTTTAAATACATACACTCGGGTACATTCGGCAAAGGGCATCCTTGGGTAACACAAAGCAAAGTGCTGGGATGGTGATGCCTGGGCAGGGCAGAGAAGTGGGGCCAGGGAAGGCCCCCTGGGGGCTGGAGGTACAGGCACCACTTCAGAAACAAAACCAAAAAATGCTCTCCACCCCTCTGCCTGATGTGCTTGGGGTGAGGGAAGTTACCTTCTCACAACTAAGGCCCATTGCTCCTGGCTATGCAGGGAAGGCAGGGCCTGGAGGCCAGTTGTGGAGGTTCCCCACCAGCAGTGCCTACTGGAGCCAAGCCAACTGGCAGCAACCATGAGGCAAGCCTAAGACACCTCAGACCCCTGCACCTGAATGCAACACCCCTACTACGGCAGAGCAGAGGCTAGGGAGCCCTGGGGCTGTGCCAGTGGAGGCAAGGGAGGCTGGGACTTAGAGGGGGAAGCCTGCCTGATTGTCAGGGCAGTCTTGGGACTGGCCAGGGTCCCAAGGGGGTAGGGAAGGAATAGGAGCTGTTGCCTTAGTTGGCCCTGGTGTTCTGATCTTCACCCAACCCTAAACCTTATCCTTAGGCAAGGGCTGCAGATCCACACACTTGTCCAGGAATAAATACATACACACGATACATAGCAATATATACAGAAACGCAGGCCTAGGACAAGGCTGGGTGAGGAAGTATGGTCACCAAGGATAAACAGAAGTGCCAGGCCCCTTGGGAAAGGGGACCACCTGGGACAGAGCCTGTGAGTTTGAGTTAACTCCTCTGCACCACTCATCATCTCCTGTTCTTAGCCCCAAGTCCACCAGGAACCGGGTCTTTGGCACCAGTAGTCACTCAGGGAAGGTAGTCAACTTAGCCCCAAGAGGGAAGGGGTGTGGGTGGCTCCCCACCCACCATGGTTCAGAGGACTAGAGGCCAGGGCCAGGGGAACAGGCAGGACCCAAAGGCGAAGGACCGAGCCAAACATTGGATCAGGCCTTGGGAAAGAAGAGGTTGTTTTTTGTGTGTTTTTCTTTTGGAAGCAATTCATAAGGGACTTGCTCAAAACCCAGTCTCATGAGACTAGGAAATGATGAGCTGCTTTGGTCCCTAGGTGGTCATCCCTAGTCAGTGAAAAGCCATCCTCTGAATAGCCTACTCCTCCCTGCAGGGACCCAGATATATAGAGCATCTCCTTTATTTCCTGCCAGTGCTGTGGGAGGCAGCCTGAGCAATGCATGAAGCCCTCGAGCCAAATATGCTGAGCCTTCAGGTGTTGAGGTCTGACTGGATGGCAGGGGAAGTGGTAGGGATACCAAGTGATCACCACCCATGGGCCCTCTACACATGCCTGGGACTCCTGCCGGGACCTTCTGTGGCTTACTTTCGATATTCTTTGCAACTTACTAGATATGAGGAAGGCTCTCCTTTGCATGAGTGAAGGATGAGGTAGCTCCAGAGGTGGCCAGGCCCTCCATCCCTGTTCCCCTCTCCTCAGCCCTAGGTGTGTGATTGCCAAGGAGCAAACCAAAGGAGCAGCCCAACAAACAAAAGCACCCTCTTCGGCAGCAGGACTCATCCTAAAGGGAGGCAAAAGAATCGTACATTGACTTGAATGGGAGGCCTGCAAACCTGCGGTTCTCAGGGCATGCTGGAAGTCAGGGCGAGCAAATCTATCAGCCCCGGGCAGGCAGGCAGGATGCCCCTCCCACACTGCTGGAAAACTGGGGAAGGGGGTCTTGGTGAGCTTCCTGGAAACAGCCAAATCCCTGAAAGGCAAACTTCCTACCAGCAGGAGGGGGACCTTGTTCACTCTTCTGCCCCTCACCCTGGCAGTGCCCAGAGCTGAGGCATGAATGAGTGAATGGATGAACGTACTGGCATCAGTCCTCCCATCACTACCTCTCCCATTCTAGCTCACTGCCTGGTCCCCCAAACCCTCTTTCACAGGCTGATGCCAGAGATTGCAGTGAACACCCACCCAGGGAGAAATTGTTCAAAGCCTGTATTCAGGGACAGAGACTTCCTGGAGCAAAAAAATATCCCTCAGTAGGGCAGGGTCAGGCCAAGCAGGGCATCCCTTTGTGCTTTGTCCAGGAGACAGGGAGGGCAGCACCTCTGGTCCTAGGGACACGGAGCAGGGGCTATGGAGGGTGTAGTTGGCAGGGTAAGACTGATATGCCCAGGTCAGCCAGACCCTGAATACCTCCATGTCCCTTCAGGTCCCTGGAGGACAGAGAAAAGTTGTGCTTCTCCTTCCCGTGATTCCTGGGGACAGAAAGCCAATGGAGCCAGCTGCTCCAAAGCAGGGAATAGGAGGTGCCAGGTAGCCAAGTCTTCATGCAGGACTAGGCAGGGAGTTAACAAAATAACACCCTTAGTATTTGGGAGCTTCAGAAGAAGAGGCTAGAAAAGGCCTGGAGGCAAGTCAGCAAGGAAAAGAGCTGGGGCAGAGCTGGGTGTGAGCCAAGGGAGCTGGTGCACTGCTGTACCAGCTGTGGGGGCGCAGGCTAATCTAGGGTGGGTCTTGCTGTTCGAGCCAGGATGTGGCAGAAAGTAGGGTCCCTGGGAAGGATTGGGAGACTAGAGAGCCCCAGCCAGGGCAGCAGCCCACTGGTTAGGATTAAAGCTGCTCCTCTACAGAAACACCCAAAGGTGGAACTAGGTTCCTATTTGAAAGAACTATGCAAAAGTAGGTTGGCAGAACATACAGTGAAGCTAAGAGGAGCAACTGGGGAGGCCTGAGTCTTTAACCTGGCCCTTTGGGAACCTGCAAGGGTCAGTGAAGCCCCCCCACCCACCCACCACCCGCATTCCCTAATGCATACCTCGGAGGGTATGTTCCCCTCTAAGCCAGGTGGCTCTGGCTTAGGCCTAGCAGTGTCCCTAGGCTGGCAATGCCCAATCCAGTCCTCATCACATGGGGCCAGTGGAGACTGAGAAGGGGGCAAGGCTGGCTAGGGTTCTGCAGGTCTGGCTTCCTGCCAGCCACATCTTCAAGCAAACCATAAGACAAGAAAACAACCCAACCACCCTCCTCTTGGCCTCCTCCACGGCAGCCCAGAGACTCCCACACAGCTTGGGAGGCCCAAAGACCATCAGATTACTACCCAAGCACCTGAATTAGAAGTATATTCCTTGAGGACAGGAACTGCTTCTCACTGCTCACACCATTTCCCAGGGCTGGGACCTTGCCCCCCAGAGGTTCAGGATTGGTGGTAGGAGTGGAAACATGCACCATTTAGCTCTGGAGTGTTGTGGGGTTATGTGGAGGAATATTGTCTTTTCTATAGTAGTTAAAAACTAAGTTTTCTCTACCCCCCCCTTAAGAGGGGTGGTCTCAAAACTCTGGGAACGAGTTCTAGATGAATCTTTTGCCCTTCCAAGCTCACTCCCACTATCTCACCACCCCCATTCCCTTCTTTTCTGATCACATGTCCAGACATCTATGCCTGTCTGTTATCCCTGGAGAATGTAGACCCAGAGCCCAGGAGGACTGTCTGAAGGGTGTGCCCCACAGAGGGCTAGGAGAGGGCACTGGCAAGA